TATTATTTTATGAAAAATATTTTATTAAATTTATAAATTAAATTACATTTTTAATATATAATTTTTCTCGTAAAACACCTTTTCATTTTTAGATAAAGATTCTGTGAACAAAATTTGTGCCAAGCATCGTCAAAGGAAGCCTTTGTTTTCAATTTTCCTATACCCAAGGGTTGATGCCACTTACCCTTTGGAGTTATTCTAGGTAATACCCCCATCCCCATGGTCCTTGGGTGGAGACTCTCCACTCTCTTATTCCATTTCATATACTGTCAAAACAACCAAAAAAGGAAAAAGGCCTATCGTTTTAAGATTTTTTTTCGTAGTCTCCTCAAGAATCAAACCTGCATCACGCAGGTTTGAAGCAAACTACCACTGCACCACGCTAATTAACTAGGCGAAAACGATCGTGGTTAAAGTGACATATATCATAAAAAGAAAAAAAGAACAGAGAGAAAAGAAGAACAAGGGTATTTCTAGCTACCATTAATAATGGAGATGACAAGATGGAAGTTGTTGTGTATTGCTTCAATTATGAAGAGGGTTTGGTCCACAAGGGACTATTCGGCGAGAAACTGTGTGCATCGATGTGACATTATGGTTGCCAGAACTAGAAGACCCTGCAAGGTCAAGGATGGCAGACATACTTCTTGAAAAAAATGGACCATACTTGTTTCTTAATCTCTCTGCTGCTGCTTCATTCATTGTTGCTTCTTTAATTTCACGGCAAACCGAAAGTCGAACTAATCCCACTATGATAATCAGCATCAGGAGCAAAAAGGAAGAGCTTCGGATTCCCATAGTTGTAGAGTGTCAGGTGTCGGAAACTGCACCAGAAAGTAGGTTTGGAGAAGAAAGAAAGGTGGTCTGTCTGGATGCCTGTTTTCTGTTGGCTTGGGAAGTTAGAAGTCCAACTTATAATTGGCTAAGTTACCTTCCTCCAATGCAAGCAAAATCTGCCCCAAGTTCACATCTAAATATATCCTTAGAATTTCCAATTATATATTTTTTTGAGGTGAGAATTGAGAACTCCTGCATCTGTATCTTCCAAATGTCAACAGTTTCTTTTTTTTTTTTTTTTTAAGATCAGCTCCAAAATGTCAAAAGTTTGACTTTTTTTAATCAAATAGAATGGTGAGCCGTATCTTTACGATAGTCTGTACTACCACGGCAAAGACTTTTCCATGCAACTCCTAGCACGGTTTGAATGTCTCATTTTATTTTATTGATCAAGACTTAATATTTTAGATATCACATCAAATAATTTTTTAAAACTTTTTATTTCTAACATAGATAATTTTTGTTTAACAGCATTTAACAAGAAATTCCAATATGATAACATATCTTTAATAAGAAAATAAATGTAAGGTTTGTTTGGTTTAGTTATTTTGAATAGCTCATAATTAATAGTTAATATTTAATAATTAATAATATTCAAATTATAAATAACAACAAATATTAATCATTCAGATATCCACTTTTTAAGTATAATCAATTTAAAATGATCACACCAAACAAAGCCACTCCCCCCTTGTTCTCAGCTGCGCGCATAGGCCGATGATGGCTGAGAAGAATGTTTCTCTTAAGCAAAGTTATATGCAGCTTTCTCTGCTGTTTCCCAAAGGCATGCCTCACCTATCATTTCTGCCTTGGATTAAGCTAGAAACCTACTAATATTCTCTATAGGATAGGACAGTAGGACTTCTATTTCGTTAAAAGGAAAAAAAAAAAAAAAATCTCAGGATCAAGCCAATCGGAGATTGGTCAATGAGCACATAATTCATGCATCTGTTTGGTAAAGGAGAATGTTAGTGTTAAGAAAAAAAGAACCAATCATAAGTAATAAATATTTGTTCATGAAGCCAAAAGTGAAATACCTAAAGCTTCCAGAATACATTGCACAAGCACACTCTGAAGAACAGGACAGATTTGAAGATCAAAATAAAGAGATTTTTTTAGTTCTATTAAATTCTTAAAAAATGGGTAAATGGCGAAAAATGATGTGTGTCAGCATGCAGGCTGCTACATTAAACAACATGGAAATGACATAGCCAGAAAAGAGAAATCATTTCTTATGTCTTTGTTTTACTTGACGTTTGCGAATGTCCTAATTGTTTATGGGTTTACTTCGATTTCAGAACTTGACCTTAATTTGGGCAGCCTGGTTGCTGGTGTTATCAACAGGCATGGATGGATTCAGAATAAAATAAACGGAGTTTGAGGATTTGGAGTTACTGAGTTCAGGATTAGTTTGGAATCTTGAACAATTAGTGACTAGCTAGATTCGATCACAAATCTTTTTTTCTTTTTTCTTTTTGTACATCTGACCCTATGCAACAAGAAATAATCATCCTTTTTTAAAATTTCTCATTTTCATTTTAAGATTTGAATTCGAAAATTATAATTTGAAATCCCAAATTTTTATCAATTGAGATACCCTTTTGAGATGATAAAAGGTCTTTGATAATACATGAATTAGCAGGAGCAATGTTGACTTTGAAACTGAGTTTCTTACATTATCTCAATTTGTATTGACGCATCATGAACTATACAACTCAATTGACAACTCATTATTCTGTACTCTATCAAGGGGCAGGGCTGATGAACCTCTAACTTCTTCACCTTCTGTTGCTTTTGACTTTTAAATCACATCATTTCAAATGCATTTGCAGTCTTATAATTATAACCTCATTTTCCATTTCTCAGCCTTGTTTTTCATAATCAAATTGATATTCAGCTGTAGTATAGCTAACCAAGTGTGCATTTGTCAGTTCTTTTCTTTTTTCATTTGTCTTCACAAACAGAGTGAAGAAAGAAAGAAGAAACAAGGATCATTAGGAGAATTTTTCTTCAAAGTGGTTTTAACATAATCCACAAATAATGTGAAATGAATCATGATTACAAAAGTCTTTCAAGTTTCATGAATATTACTAGTTTACCACTTAAATCTGAAATCTAGAGCCTAATAAAAATAATTCTATACGCTTGATATAGGGTACAACTGAGACAAATAAGAACTTAGTGGAGTTGATATTCTCTTCTAAATCTTGATTCGGGTGTCAAGGTCAGGGTTCGAATCCTTACCATATAGTAAGCATTAATTTCTTTGGCATTAAAAATAGGGAAAAAAGATGTAGAGTACAATTGAGTTCAACTTCAATCTTATAATTTACTGGTTTTGATTCTCTTCATATTGTAGCTATGCTTATACAAAATCTTTGGGAACATTAGAACATACTTCAATGCACAAAGTAAGCAATAATCTTGGTTCCAGGAAAGAAAGACTCTGCCCCCAGATCTAAACAGGAGTTCTCTTCTTTCCTTCCAGGTGGTTTCCTTTTCCTCCCTCACCTCTCAAAAGAAAACAGAAAAAAAAAAAAAAAAAAAAATTCCAAGAGCACCGGAGGAGGGGGAAGACATGATCTTGATGATCAGTTGTGAAGTGGGTTTGGTCCTCCAGGGACTAATTGATGTGAAACACCATGTACTGAACTGAACTTCTTGTTTTCAGAAACTGCAGAGAGGAAAGTAGCAGACAAATGCTCTGGAAACAGCATAAGAAACCTGGCTCTCAGTCTCATCAGGCCTTGCTGTGTAACCTGTGTATCTCCGTAGGAAGTCTCACCAAGTTGCCGACAACTAGAAGGATGGAGGGTTGATAGCAAAATTGTGAATACCAAAAGTACAGGCAGCAAAGGACTGTGAATCGTCATGATTTGGAGAGAGCAGAAAATGACCCTAGAAGAAGAGGAGTATCAGAAAAGAAAAGGGTGTTATGAGTTCATCTGTTTGAATGTCTATTTATAGTGAGAAATGGCCAGCCAGCATTGCAAAGGATGGAAAAAGTCCAATTCAAGTTGACCTGAATGCCCACATTCTAACATGATCGCTGACCCTACTCTTAATAATTGATAATCATATTGCTCCCACGTTCAGAGACTCGAACTTCTCAGATTAACTACTGAACCATAACCTCATTGATGGATCATATTTTTGGAAATTTGGTTGATGAGAAGGGCCAAGGCATTAAGTTATGGATGCTTCAACGCTCGCGTAGGGCTATCTACCAGGCCCAGGAAATTAACGTAGCTTGTCCCAAGTCACTTGAGCATCCATTCAAGTTATAAAAAAGGGATCCTGGGTTCAATTCTTTGGTATTATATAAAGGGAAAGTGTCCTAAGAAAGAGTTTCTAGGAGCAGGGTGAGAATCACTATTTGCTTAGGAAATTACAAATTACAAATTCTATGAGCATCCAAAGGTAATGTGTTAGGAAGAGCACTTTCATCTTTTGGCATCTTGACAACCGCCAATCTTTCATATAGCAATAAAAAAATAATTGAATATAAATTGGGATTCATAATTCAGATATCAATCCAGCTTGTTATTATAGGATAATGGGATACAGTGTGTTCCTTCTCTTGGTGACCGAGCTAAAGGTTTGGCTTGGAAGTAAATTCAGTGTCTTAGACCCTGAGTATATTATGGAATATCATTGAACATCTGAAATTTTGGATCTTGTCTGAACCTTGTGCTTTTCTGTTGATTTTTATTTTTTATTTTTAATAACTGAATCAATCAATCCTAGTCAAGCTGCCCTAAAATCAATCTTAGCTTGTGTTCAGACTTGTTAAGGTAATTGAACTCAAAGATGCTTGACTCATAAGCTTAAGATGCTTGAGCTGACTTGACTCATTTACAGCCATGCTAAATGTTTAGACAAGATCCAAAATTTTAGAAATTGTTGAGTTTCATGAGTTTAGGGTTTTGAATTCTAAAATGAACACTATTGATTCGTTTAAATCAAATTTTGATTCCAGATACCCAAGCCTTTTCTTGATCTAAGTGATAATTTAGAGGACTTGGTTTATTTTTATGAGTTAGTATATGGAAAAAACCAATAAGAACTTCTATTAACGTCAAAACTTTATTCTATGGTCAAGATTAGGAATTCAAATTACTACAATAATTTCTATAATGCTAAAGATACTATCCAAAGTATAAATAAATAAATAAATAAAATGATAAGTACATACTCAATTTGACATTTTTTTTATATTTGTTTGATTTAGTTATTAAAAATATAATATAAGTACAATCAATTTTTATATTTTATATGTATAATTGTATTTTTAAACTTATTTATTTTTAATTTTAAATTAAAAAATAATAATTTTTTAATAAGTATACTCAAATACGTAGCAATCAACAGCAATAAAAAAGAATATGAAGTACCTGGCAAGTGAAGTCCATTCTTTGTAGTAGATGATAATGGATTGCAGATTGGTGCTTCCTAGCTTCTTGTCGTCCGAGATATGGCAGGACACCTAATGGACTACCCAACTACTTTCAGTCTTGTTTTCTCCGCAAGGACCACAACATTCCAAAGGTGATTCAAGCTTCATTTGACCTTGTTTTTTTTTTTTTTTTGATAAGG